GGGGGGGGGTAAAAATTGAAACGCTGCAGCTCGTTACAAAAGCAGAGACGTCACGTGTTAGCTGTATTTATTTTGCCTCCATGCAGCTATTGGCTGCTTTATCAACAAATTTCTTTATTCCAACGTAAAAAGACGACGAGTATTGCACATGCTTTTTCCTACGGTACTTATACTCCTTCTGCCCGTAAAGTGCTTTTGTTTCTTGGACAGAAAAATTTATTTCCTTCAAAACTTCCCCATCAACCAACACTTTTCTTACATTTCCATCAACTTTTCTCAGCAACAATGCTCCTTCATTTACGAAGCAAAAGTAAAAACGATGCGCAGTCATAATTAAAAAGCCCTCCGTGTCCCATGCATATAAAAATGCGGTATAGGCTCCCTAAACTGCCACTATTTTTTTTTCTCGGCTACAAATAACACTCCCCCCCCCCCCCCAAAAAAAAGGGGGGATCAGATCACAGATGCTCCTAATACGCGTAGCAGACGCCGATGAAATATTTAGTTTGCAGACCAAAAAAAAAAGTAAAAAAATAGTCGTTCTCGAGATATTAGATGCCCCTGCAGTGTCTTTATTTTCTTTTTTTTCTCCCTCCCAACTCACAAGAGTGGGTATGATGGTCAAGCTGCTCTCTCCGTTAAGCGAGGCCTATTAATCCCACTCGGGGTTGGCGGCGCGTGCACGCCATATGTCGAAAGAGGACGACGGTATGAAAAAAAACAAAAAAAAAAAAAAACGTCATCGTTCTCCTCCCAACGAGATAGGAGGGGGCTGTCTCGCGCACACTTTGCTCGGATTACCACCGCGGCGCGCTGAAAGAGCGATCAGTGGCACTGATGACGCCTGTCTTCTTCCTCTTCATCTTCCTGTTTTTTTGCTCGGTGTGGTTGTTATACGGTACCTAATAAGTACGTGACTCCTGGCGCGAAGTGCTTCCCCCTGCAAGCGCTCGTTTATTTGTTTTCTTTCTTTTTTTGTCCCTTTATTTGGAGGTTATGGTTACCGCCACCCAGAGATAAAGTAAAGAGAAAGATTTGTCCTTCTGTGGTCATCCATTTTTGTACGTAAATGTACCATTTTTTAAAGCAGTAATGACAGATGATTCCAGTACGTATACGTAAACAGACTCTATTCGCTGTATGCAAGTGTTATGCCCCCCCCCCCACTTTGCATCACTATACGTTAAATCTTATGGAATAAAAGTAGTTCAAGTGGCTGCCGTTGAAAAAATTTCGGGACCTTTCCATAAGAATACGTCTCAAAGTGACAACCAGCGCCAATACCCTCAAATAATATCACAAGGTGCGTGAGCGAGGTGTCGGAGAGTCATTAAAAAAGGATTGAACGCGCAGAGTGTAAATTTGGGGGTTGCAGAGGGAGCGAAACAATTTCGCACGTATACAGAGTGGAGTGCGAAGGCCAAGCGCGGCAATGAGCTGCCAAGTTTCTCCCATAATACATATATAGATCTGACGGATCAGGAAGGGGTCCCTTAGTTTCGTATTGGCGAGAAACGAACGGACGATTTCTAAGCTCCTTTATGGACAGCCTCTACCATGCAGTCTCCATTCGAATGAGAAAATTTTCTGTGTCGAGCTTATTTTTTTTCCCTCCCTCCCCCCACCTGCAAAATCCTCCACACGTTCACGTACACCTGTATAGGGGACGAATAAAAGCTTCGATTAGCATTTCTAACGACAGTCGTAGCTGCGGCCAGACGGGCATTGAGTACATTATTTTATGCTCTCGTAGACGCCCCCGTACATATATATACCTTGCTCGTTTGAATGGACGTGACGGGACTGAGAAGCGGCGTCGGTGTAATCGATATGTGTACTTACGATGCGGGAGCTTATACCATTGAACTTGTTTGTGTATTCGCTTTTCCTAAAACGGCTTGTTGTATCAATGTCGATAGCTCGAGGTAATACAAAGCGGTATCTCATGTGTATCAGACAGTCCACCGAATCACTCAAATACCTACACAGCCCGCCATGGCACTACTTGAAAATCGAAACTTTAAACGCCGGTATCTCCGTAAATAATGGAAATTTCGCGAAATAAGCGGTTATTTGGGACCATTTGAAAATGTATTTTTTTAATGTGTGTATTCTTGAACGTGAATATTGTTCTAAAAAATGATTTCAAATAACTTTTACTGTTCAGAAGCTGTTAAATTTTTTAAACAGAAAAATTTCAAGTCGATTCTAAGGTATTCGACATTTGCCACAAATGCCTCGTTAAAAATAAACAAATATTGTGAATGTCAGCTCTATGTTATCATACACTAATTTTGCACGTAAAAAGATGCACAACATTTATGTAATTTTGACGTTTAATTTTTGTAATTCAGTAAATTACACAAAACTTTTGACTATGTAGCTGATGAAATTGATGAATTGAAAATTTTTTGATCCAATTTATTTTTCGACTTTCCACCCTCAGCTGTCGACGTACTAAAAATGTTTCGAAAAGTTTGCTCGATTTGATAAAATGTGCGTTTGTATACCGAAGAACAAAAAAAATGACGTGTACGATAGTCGTTCATACACACTTACATGTTATAATATGTGTAACTACAGGTACTTATGTCGGGGAAAAAACAAACCCAATGAATTATTGTAGTAAACGCTTGAAGGACCGCAGTTCGATTGTGATGAAGTGTCACGTATGCTTTTTCCTATGTAATGCTCTTAGCTGAAAAATTGTCTATTTTATCCCTTACCCCCTTCCTGTAACTTCCTACAATGTAATAAAAAAAAAAGGTATAATTATACATCAGGATACGGCAAAGTCAATGAAGAAAGTACGTATTCCTAAGCAATAGTGATCGCGCGACCAGCGACAGAGAATCAACAAATGCTCCCGTGAAATTTCATAGTCAATAAGCAAGCCCATAGTCGTCCCGAATAATTAGTCTTTATATAATCCAAGTGTGTGTGTGCATCGCATGCTGTATGGTAAAACGCGCGTATCTACGCGTACAGAGATAGTACAGCCTTCAGCAGGTATATTTATAACTATATATTATGTTGATGCAGAGAGCTATAGGTATAGAATAGACGGAGAGGAGCAGATTCGATGACTAGATATTTACGTGTATTGGTACAGGTATATATACATCTATAATAATCCCTTCCGTCCTATATCCGCGTTTAATTTCCTTAACGGGCCAACTGTGTGTATATATATATATATATATATATACCGTATGTCCGCGCACTACTGACCACTTACCGTGGATATTGCGTGTGGTCTGGGTTTACCGAAATCTCCCGAGCTTTGGGAGATCCCTTGGATGATATAGACTCCGTAAACACCTGGTGCAAAAGTTCGTTGGTTCAGATGTTTTGTTTTAAAAATAATAATATCAATAATCAAGGTATACGTGTATTGTATTTTTGTTTTGGGACAACGGTGTGTACAAGTGTTCGCGTATATGTTTGAACGAGTGTATGTTTTTATACGTTATTTACGGAGCAAGACGAATGAATGGTTGGTGTGCGTGTATTGTAGATAATTTGCTTTTTTGCCCAAACTTGGAGACGTGTGAGTTAAACTTTGAACAAAACGACGATCCGGCACAAAACAATATGTGGACAACGGTGTATAGGTATGATTTTTTTTTTCCCCAAGCGGGTGTATAATTCGACACAAAGCGGAAAAAAGAAAAAAAAAAAAAATGTGAAAAACACCAGAATTCGTGGCTGGTAGGCGCGAGTCGTCGAGCAGACTGAGCGCGATGGTTCGGTGAAACCGTGAGTAAAGTCCTTCTCCGCTATATACAAGCAGCGAGTCCACTGACCGTGAAATAGCCCCTCGCGTTGTATACACCGTACATACTTGCGTATGGGATACGAAAATGCCTACCTCGCGAGTTGGAGAAAAAGTTGAAAAAAAAAAAGACTCGCGTGGGAGAGGGACAGCCTCGTGCGTGATCGTGATCCAAATGGGGCCTGATTTTGATTCGAGTGCATGGCTTCGAAGGAAGAGGATATATGTATGATACATAAATACATACGCTCGAGAATAAATTTTTTTTTCCATTGTGTCTGTTGTGACTGTTTTTAATTGCCATGCATCGCTGTTTGGTACAGGTGCACCTTGAATAGAGGACTGGCTGGAGGCCACCGTTGTTTATTTCAACTTTTTTAACTGGTCATTTTACCAGTGCATTTGTATACAAATCGGGGCTCAAAGGCCGAAAAAGCAAAGGAACCAACATTGTAAAGCTTTCTCTTTCCTCATGGGTATGAACAATTATTTTTTTTACAAT